GATTTTGAGTACCACTAAATTGGGATTACATTTGTATATACGGTGTACCGTAAAGCAGGTAGAGCTAGTAATATTAACAGCATGCTAGTCTTTTATGCTGGAGAGCTGTTTGTATGAAATTAGCCAAACTGTTTGTCTTCCCAAGTACCYTTTCGGTCTTAGCTTCTATGATTTGACCTTTTTAGGCCCGACAAAGTTTCTTCAATTAGGTGTATAGTCTATGGGAATGTTTGTGATAAAAATAAATAAATTTTTGTAACATAAAACATTAAAAATATTGGCTCCTCKTTGGAGTAAAAGAGAAAAAGCTAACAAGAAAACTAAAAGGTCTTTTCTCTTTAACACCAACATCTGAAACACCAGTTTTGCAGTATAATTTCATGAAAAACGTTTTAATACTGGTGCTATTCGTATTCGTTTTCTCTTGTTTTGATGCCATTTGAATAGCTGACAATTATCTCATTACTAATATTTTTTTTCAGGAACGATTCACCCAAGACATGCAACCACACTACATCTACAGTCCAAGAGAAATGACTCGTTGGGTTAGAGGCATTTGTGAAGCCATGAGACCTTTAGAGACCATGAGTGTTGAGCAGCTTGTCAGGATCTGGGCTCAYGAAGCATTGAGGCTTTTCCAGGACAGGTAAGACACTTTATTATAAATTATTCAAGCATTATATTAGAGAAGTTACAAGATTTTTTTAATATGTATTTTGTATATGTATGTATTGAAAACATCATGTCTTTTGAAGGCTTGTTGAAGAAGATGAGCGCAAATGGACAGATGAAAATGTGGACATGATAGCTTTGAAACACTTCCCCAACATTGACAGCAAAGCAGCACTATGCTCTATCTATCTATCTATCTCTAAAGCGTTATCTCTACAAAAGAGTGGATTCAGATGTTGTGTTGTTGATTTCAGGTCGTGGGAAGTCACAGGTAAAGCACTTGTTTATCACATTTGTCGCTACTTGAGCTTGTCTTGTCATAGTCACAAAAGTAAATGAAAGTATTGTGTCTTTTGAAGGCTTGTTGAAGAAGATGAGCGCAAATGGACAGATGAAAATGTGGACATGATAGCTTTGAAACACTTCCCCAACATTGACAGCAAAGCAGCACTATGCAGACCTATTCTGTACAGTAACTGGCTGTCCAAGGACTATGTTGCAGTTGATCAGGAAGAACTGMGAGACTTTGTCAAAGCAAGACTGAAGGTCAGTTTACTTGCTTGTAATTTTGTACCAATGAGCATTTGCCTACTACTGTTTTTTGGGCAATTCATTGTTTCATCCTTCCATCCATTCACTCCTTCATTAATTCATTCCTATTTTAAGGTGTTCTATGAAGAAGAACTTGATGTTCCATTAGTGTTGTTCAATGAAGTACTGGACCATGTCCTKCGTATTGACAGGATATTCAGACAACCTCAAGTAAGTACAATTTCTTGTGTTATTAACACTATTAAATCATCATTAATGCAATAATATTGTTGGAAATTTATAGTTTTATCAACAATATATTAGTATCTCTGGTTTTCTATCAATCCTTTGAGATTCAAAAGACGAAAGATGAGATAGGTGTTGGTGATAATATTATGAACAAGAGATATTAATGAGAAAACCTTTGTCAATGAACTACCATCATGGCTGATGTGTCATCATCTGAAAACAAGCAACCAATGTTATTTTAATGGCAGATTGTTTGTGTCATTGTAGGGTCATGTACTTCTTATTGGTGTAAGTGGTGCTGGTAAAACCACTCTGTCAAGATTTGTTGCTTGGATGAATGGYTTGAGTGTCTTCCAAGTCAAGGTAGTTATTCTCTAATCATTTTAAAATGTTGCTGACTTTTCCTGGGATGTTTTTGGRTACTTGCACTAGTCCATGAAGAAAGTCCTGTATTCAAAGGGCTGCTAWCCTGTGATATTATAAAATCATTTTCAATTTATGTTAGATTCATCGCAAGTACACAGCAGCTGATTTTGATGAAGATCTTCGTAATGTGTTGAGAAGATCAGGCTGTAARAATGAGAAGATTGCATTCATCTTAGATGAGTCGAACATCATGGAGTCTAGCTTCTTGGAAAGAATGAACACGCTCCTTGCTAATGGAGAGGTATTGATGGCTTTTGCTTGTTTATTTGGCTATTTGTCGGTACATTTGTTTGTTTTCTTATTGTTTTTTTTTTTTCATTGATTAAAATTGTCATGTGTTTGTAATTATCAAGGTTCCAGGTCTGTTTGAAGGAGATGAATACACAACCTTGATGACACAGTGCAAGGAAGGRGCTCAAAGAGAAGGTCTTATGCTGGACTCTAGTGAAGAACTTTATAAATGGTTTACAACTCAGGTAAAGTGCCTTCAACCTACCTTTTTTGATTTATGAAATGAGAAGAAGCAATTACAATTTATAGAATTGGAAAAAGAAAAGAGAGAGAAAAGATGGGAAGAAAAGATACTTACTTGTGACATATCTTYTAGGTTATTACAAACCTGCATGTTGTCTTCACAATGAATCCATCATCTGAAGGTCTTAAAGACAGAGCAGCRACATCCCCTGCTCTTTTCAACAGGTACATGAATGTCAAATGTTTTATACTCAGAACATGGTACTGACATGGTCAAACCATGGCACTGTGTGTTCTACACTCAGAGAACTAGAAGAACATGAGACTTTAAACTGTAAGCTTGACAGCTTGGCAATATCTTAAGCTATCTTTTACTTATAGGTGTGTCCTCAACTGGTTTGGTGACTGGTCAACTGGAGCTCTGTACCAAGTTGGCAAGGAATTTACCAGCAAACTTGACCTGGACAAGTCTACGGTAAACCAACCTTGTATTTTTCGTTCACTGCTCTCTTCTATCTTGTAGACATTGCAGTGGTACTTTTGTTCAATGTATAGATAAGTTTTTGAAATCCTCATGGCTTTCTTGTTTTTTTTTACAGTATTCTGCTCCACCATACTTACCAGTAGTCTACCAAGAGCTCCCTGTACCACCAACTCACCGTGAAGCTGTTATCAATGCGTTTGTMTTTGTACATCAAACCCTACATGAAGCCAACTCAAGGCTTATGAAGAAAGGCAGTCAAGTTATGGCAATAACACCACGTCACTATTTAGACTTCATTAATCACTATGTATGTGAATGCTCCCAATTGTCGGTTGTCTTCTTATAATATAATTGCTCACTTGGTCCTTTGACTTTTTATTCCTCAAATCCTTACTTGATGTACTTCAGCAACCGCGTCTTCATGTCCTTCTTCCCTTAATCCACTGTTGTTGTTTTTTCCTTTTTTCTTGTTTTCTCCTCCTAAGACTTAATTTGCTTCCTCAGACTTCTTCTCCATCTTGTTTCCAACCACTGTTATTTTTTTCTTTTTTCTTGTTTTCTCCTCCAACTACTTCATTTGTTTCCTCAGACTTCTTCTTCATCTTTTTCCTTTTTTATTTACAACTTCCTTTTATTCTTTATTTGCCACTTCATCCTATTGACATTGGATTTTAAGTTATTCTTGTAAATATTTCATTTTAGGTCAAGCTTTTCAATGAGAAGAGATCGGATCTTGAGGAGCAGCAGCTTCACTTGAATGTTGGTCTTCAAAAGATCAGAGAGACAGTTGACCAGGTTGAAGAACTTCAAAAGAGTTTGTCTCTCAAGAGCCAAGAGCTTGAAGCAAAGAATTCTTTAGCAAACCAGAAACTYAAGCAAATGGTGTGTTGTTTTTGTTGCTATAAACAAAATATTTATGTTTCTTTTTGTGGAAATACAAATGGTTATGGAGCATTGGTTGTTTTCTTTGATAAAATAAATAGCAAACAGTTGTAGGTGTTGATTCACAGCATCATTGAGCAATTTTAACTAGAAATTCATTGTATAATTTTCAGGTCAAAGACCAACAAGAAGCCGAGAAGAAGAAAGTCACATCAATGGAGATCCAATCCACAATTGAGGTGACCAAACTAATCATGTTTGAATTTAAAGCAAATTTTGCTAGAAAGATACTCATTTTATAGATACTCTCTTATGAGTAATTCTTAGAATAGTAGTAAAGCTTATTAAAGCACTTTTGCTTCAAAATGTAACAGAAACAAACAGAAATGATCCAGGAAAAACAGAAGTTTGTCATGGAGGACTTAGCCAAAGTGGAACCAGCAGTAGAAGAAGCTAGACAAGGTATGATTTTAGTTCAAAGSAATGGCATTTGTATTTCCAGGGTTTAAAGCATACAGGACATACACACAACAAATTGACATAATTTTAACACAAAATGTTTTTAATTAACAGCTGTAAAGGGAATCAAGAAACAACATCTTGTTGAAATCCGTACAATGAACAATCCACCAGGAGCCGTTAAGGTTGCTTTAGAGTCCATCTGTTTACTGCTTGGAGAGAAGGCTTCAGATTGGAAACAAATCCGTGGTGTTATAATCAGAGATAACTTCATYTCCACCATCGTTAACTTCAACACTGAAGATATCACGTTAGTACTACATTAAATGATTAGAATAGCAAATTATTTTATGGTAATGATGGTGGTTAATGGTGATGTTTTGTTTTTCAAGTGAGGATCAAAGAAGTATTATGAACTCCAAGTACTTGAAGAGTCCAGAATACAGTTTTGAGAAGGCAAACAGAGCTAGTCAAGCATGTGGACCTCTGGTCAAATGGGCAATTGCACAGGTATATGAATGAATGGATGGATAAATAAATGAATGACAAAAGTCAAATAACATGACTGTGCAAGTAAATGATTTGGAGTATATTTTATTTATTATTGAACACATGAATGAATAAATGCATGAAAACAATAATAATTAGCAATAGATCATTATTAGCTTATTGATTTTAATGATTATAGGTACAATATGCAGACATGTTGGGACGCGTGGAACCACTAAGAAATGAACTAAAAAAACTTGAGATGGATGCACAATCCACCAGAATCAAGGTATGTTTTTGCACTGATGGTTTATATATATAGATCATCATCATCATCACCATCATCATCATCATCATCTGCTGCAATAACATCTTAATTATGAGATCACAGAAAAGAATAAAATCACACTTTCCTTTTAACAACTCATGTGTAAATGTACATGGTACTGTTTAACTATCATTGTCATGAAATTGCTGTCGAACACATGAATTAACTTTTGTAATATTTTTCATATTTAAGTCTGACGAAATCAGTCATGTTATTGCTGATTTGGAGAAGAGTATTTCTCGCTACAAGGAGGAATATGCTGCACTTATCAGTCAGGCTCAGGCCATTAAAACAGACCTGGCYACTGTTGAGGCTAAGGTCAGTATTCAGGTCAAATTTAAGTTCAACAAAGAAATTATCCATTAAAATAAGCTCAAAGTCTGTTATTGATATCTTTCGCAGGTTAGTCGTAGTACTGCCTTGTTGCGTAGTCTGTCGGTRGAGAGACAAAGGTGGGAGACTGGTAGCAATGCTTTCCAGACACAAATGGGGACAATTGTTGGTGACGTCCTCTTGTCATCAGCCTTCCTGGCTTATGGAGGTAAKAATGACTTGATTGACGTTGACATATTCTTCCTTCCATTCTCTTTCATCCATTCATTCATTCATCCACTATGATAAAAGATCAACCATTGTAAAAGAAGGGAGAACACATTATGYATTGATCTTCATCAGTGTCTTTGCTTCTAACAAGAGACTACCAACCAACTTACACTCTAAAATCATTGCACCACACACTAGCATAGTGATAGTAACATGATTTCAGCCCACACTAGTACTAGGTACACGATGCAAAATAACAAGTGATAACTATGGTATTTTCCAGGTTACTTTGACCAGCAATATCGTCAGAATCTGTTCAGTACCTGGTCACACCATCTTCAACAGGCCAACATTCAATACAGACCAGACATTGCACGTGTTGAGGTATTTTACAGCAAAAAATATTCAAAAGAATAATTGGTAAAAATTTAGTTTAACTTTGCATAGTGTCTTCTATAATTGAACAGCAAAAAGTTGAGGCTATTGAGACTAACTGGAAAAAACATTAATCATTAAATCAAACAATTTTGTCTTTCAGTATCTGTCAACTGCCGATGATCGTCTCAAATGGCAAGCCAACTCGTTACCAGCAGATGATTTGTGTACAGAGAATGCCATCATGTTACAGAGGTTCAACCGYTATCCACTTATCATCGATCCATCTGGACAGGCTACTGAATTTATCATGAATGAATACAAATCAAAAAGAATCAGTAAAACAAGGTGGGTAAACCTTACTTTCCTTAGAAAAACAACAAAATAGACTTAACTGTGCAGTGTATACTGTACAGCTATAACTTGGACTGCAACATCACACAAAATGTCATGAGAAAGTGAAGTATCACTGTGGTTAAAAGTGATGAGAGTGRTGAATGGTAATAATACTGTACTTACCATACTTTTTGTCCTTTCAGTTTCCTTGAYGATGCTTTCCGTAAGAACCTTGAAAGTGCACTAAGATTTGGTAATCCACTTCTAGTCCAGGTAATGAATTGTATAATACTATATTTAGAGGATTTTAAGGTATTAATAACACTTTTGTTGGACTAGGATGTGGAAAGCTATGATCCAATCTTAAATCCTGTATTAAACCGTGAGCTGCGCAGGACTGGTGGACGTGTATTGATTACTCTTGGTGACCAGGACATTGATTTATCTCCGTCTTTCACTATCTTCCTCTCTACAAGAGATCCTACAGTAAGTACATAACTTGTCATTTCAATGGGATTCCCAATAGTAACCATTGGCCTGCAAAAATCACATCTTGCTGCTTATTTAATCACTGTTTATTTGATAAAATTGTTTACATTTTTTTTGTATATACAGCTGTAGGCCCTTAAGCTACTATTGTTTGACCTTGATTACTGCTAATTCTGAGTTAATTAAAAAAACATATTAATAAGTTAACCCTGGATTATGCTACTCAGAGGTGAAAAATTGATGTCTGTTTTTTTTTTCCCCTACTGAGAACTCTGCCTTTATTATTTTTTTTAATTTCTTATTTTATTTACACTCTGTTGCAGTAGTATTGTCATTTCTCAATATTATTTTACAATTTTCCTCAGATTGAGTTCCCACCTGATATCTGTTCACGTGTGACCTTTGTCAACTTTACCGTGACAAGAAGCAGTCTACAGAGCCAATGTCTCAACCAGGTCCTCAAAGCAGAAAGACCAGATGTTGATGAGAAGCGTTCTGATCTCCTGAAACTACAAGGTAGACAATGATTCATACACGATGTAAAGTTTGGCCATTGAAAAGTTTAATTGATGGAGCTTCCCTTTGCAGGTGAGTTCCATTTGAGACTGAGACACTTGGAAAAGTCCCTTCTACAGGCATTGAATGAAGCTAAAGGAAAGATTTTAGATGATGATCGGTAAGTCATGATAAGAAAGGCATATCAGGGTTTTCATATGATACAAGTTTCCTTTATAAGGTAACAACTAAAGGCATTTTGATCTTGAAATGTTTGAGCTTTGTTTTCTTCTCCGAACCTAATAATTTTCATATTATTTTTTTTCTTCATTTATTCCTTCATT